TGAAAATGTATTCAGCAAATCTTACGAATTTGCCGAAACACAAAATCTTATTCTGAAAATCAATAACATGCATGTATTCACTAAAACCTGCATCATGCAACTCTAAAATAAAGTATTACATGTTTTCCATAACACAAGTTATGCCAGTGTAAAAATACTGTTTGGATTCGCCAAACTTTTCTTAAGTCTGCAAATTTACCAATTCCTAAAAGTATGCTATTCTCAAAATGTATACATTGTGAATGTTGCCAAAACACAAAATCTTATGGAAAAACGTAAAACCTAATCACCAAAACTTTCTTTTCTGTTGCAAATATGTAGTTTATTTTCAAAGCTAAAATATACAATTCTAAACCTCTACACCAATAACACCTAAACCACTCAATAATCACCAATAATCAACTGTACATCTTATTTTCAGAGATTTGATTTTAGGTGAAGTCCAAATTATTCGCCCCCCTTTGATTTTTTTTTTTTTCTTTTTTAAATATTTCCAGAATGTTTTTTTAACTGATTCAGGAAATGTTCACAGTATGTCTGATAATATTTATTCTTCTGGAGAAAGTCTTATTTGTCTTATCTCCGTTAGAATAAAAGCAGTTTAAACTTTTTAAAAAAGCCATTTTAAGGTCAATATTATTAGCCCGTTAATGATTAAAACTATTATGTGCAGAAATGTGCGTCTGTGTAAAAGTACTTGGAAATGACTTCAACATTTAGCAGTTTCAGAACTACTCGAATCAACCTCACCACATTCACGCAAACCACATTACTTCCTCTTTCTGATGCTTGATTTGAACTTCAGCAGAGTTTCCTGACATACACATGCACAGTTTCCGCCTTGTGATTGGCTGATTAGATATTTGTGTTACTAAACAGCCAATCGTGTGTGCCTGAGGTAATAATGCAACTGCATGAACAGTACCATGCCTAAAAATATACGCAGTTGCCATTTTTGCTGAACAACTGCGCCTTAGTGGTCTGGAGCATTTCCATTGTGCTTGGCATGTTTTCATTGTGTTGTGGTATGACTTTGTAGTGTTCAGGGTTACTTCTGGTGTGTTTTGGCTTTGGTTTTGTTCTATTGTGGTTTGATTTTGCTTGCCTAAACGCGCACTTGCTGCCATATGATTAGCTGTAAAGATGATTATTTGCATTGCAATGTACTATGTAGTAATTAAAACACATTTTCACTCTTATTGTATGCTATTTCTAACTTCAGTGTTTGATGCACATCACAATAGACACCTCATAAAATCAGACTGCTTTTAAAAAACATTCTTTATTCTCAGGTATAAAAAGGCACATTCAGGAGACGTACAGATGAACATCTGTCAAAGAAATAAAAGCAAGGAGGAAGAACTGATTCATTAAACACTGCATTTTCCCTCTTAGCTAAATATGAAGCTCATTCATTGAGCTGACACACTAAGCATTATGTAAACATTTAGTTTGCCTCACACAAATGTCTCTGTGTTAGCTTTAAAATGCATTCTCTGACATAAATCTCTTAAGGCAACTGAGGAAATACATCAAATAAAAAAAGCTACGTACACTTCACATCAGGGATAATAACACATACTGTCGGCTCATATTTACACTGACAGAGGATTATGATCAAGCTGAACAAGCAATAAATTAGTCATCAGCAAGCAAAACCATCAGATCCAAACTGTCTTCACACGCCGACCTGCTTCCCTTACATAATAAAGGTCATGTTCAGAGGGAGATCCTCATAAAGGAATGTTCAAATCACGAGCACTGATCCATGTTTAACTAAAGCTTGACGTCAGATCAGGTTTGAAATAGCGCTAACTGGACCACATCAGATCATGATGATTGTTTTTGAGGCTCCCAATAAAAAAGAAAGAAATATATTGCATAAAAGTCAGAGCGACTCGCGTTCATGCTCCCAATAGATCGTCAAGCATTTCAGGAGAAGCTGAGGTTTTGTCTCATCTAAATTGTTTAATAGTGTTGCGTTTCGTCGAGTGTTGGTTTTATCTCAGTTGTGTCGTAAATCATCCTCTGTGCTGTGGATAATGTTCTCATAAAGATTATTTTTCTGTATTTATATGGTGGCCTAGCAGTGCACAACACAATGGAGTTTAAAAGGTAAATGTAAGTTCATAACATAATGGAAAGCCAAAATGCTACACAATCAAGGAAGAACACAACAGAAATGCTACTAAGCACTAAGATACATCTTTGCATTGGACACACATAGTTTTGTTAAGTGTTTGACGGTGCCATAATTAAACATGCCTTTTAATATCTAATTTTTAGTAGTGATGAACGATATTTTATCGAATCAAATAAAATTAGTCGATAACAATATGGTCTGGACTTTTGTATATTGCAACACCTTGTAATTTTAAGATTCTCTCTGCATTATGAATGATTTTGGATATTGAGCGTCAAAGTTTTTGCATTCTGTAGCAAAAAGTGTGTGTGTGTGTGTGTAACATTTTTTTTTCTTAAATAAAAAGGCTTAAAATGGAAACAACTTGTATAAAAAAACATCCCGTAATGTAAATAAGCTGTCATTTAATAAAAATATGTCAATAACTCAATTTTGACAAACATGTCAGGTGGAACCTTATAATTCTAAGGTGTGACTATTGATCTAACAGCCAATCACACAGCAGAAATGTGTAACGATGGGAATCTAGAAGTGTGTTGATATTAGAGATGTTTGGCCATTGAAAAATTGTGGCTTCAGTGATTGTTGGTCCTCTTTTAATAATGAAAGCTTTAACAACTTGCTTCAAAATATATATATATCATTATCGTTCAATATGGAAAATAATTATCAAGATTGCATTTTTGCCATATCGCCAAGCCCTGTTGTCTCTTTAACTGCAACATTAACCCGTTTTAGACATTCAAGAAAAACATGCTAGCAATTGTCGTTTTTGCTGACCTGCCCTGGTGGTCTTGAGCAGTTCTGTTGTATTTTTATGGCTTAATTTCCAAAGTTTTAGCTTGTTTTTTCATCATGTTTGGCCTTGGTTCTGTTGCATTTACATTTACTTTGTTCTGTTTTGGCTTGATCTTGTTGTGATTATGCTACATTTCATTGTTGTGGATTAATTTAATTGAGTTTGGCCTTTTTCTGTTGTGTTTTGGCTTGAATTTTGTTCTATTATGGTTTTATTTCATTGTGATTGGGCTTGATTTCATTTTTGTTTCTTGATTCTGTTGTGTTATGGGTTGATTTTGTATTTTGGCTTGTTTTTTGTTGCATTGTGGCTTGTTTTCATTCATAGACAGATGTTGTTGTTTTTTATAATACTTTGTCATTGTGTTTTGAACTTATGTTTTCTTTTAATGTAGTATTTAGAACAAATGTCTTTATCATTAATTCATTTTCTTTTCAGCTTAGTCCCTTTATTAATCTGGGGTCACCACAGTGGAATGAACCGCCAACTTATCCATTCTATGTTTTACACAGCGGATGCCCTTCCAGCTGCAACCCATCATTGAGAAACACCCATAAACTCTCATTCACATACATACACTACGGACAGTTTTAGCATACCCCATTCACCTGTACTGCATGTGTTTGGACTGTGGATGAAACCGGAGCACCCGGAGATAACCCACGTCAACACAGGAAGAACATGCAAACTCCACACAGAAATGCCAACTGACCCAGCCAAGGCTCGAACCAGCGACCTTCTTGCTGTGAGGCGACAGCACTACCTACTGCGCCACCGCGTCGCCCAGCTCTAGCCTGTTGTATTATTATTGTATCTCAGTACTATGTTGTTGTGTGTCTGGGCTCTAAAGCTCTCTACAGTTGTGGGTCTCTGTGTTCTTCTGGGGGTCTAGGATCCTCTATTTCTATATATGTGGCTCTAGAGCTGTCTGCAGTTGTGTGTTTGTATTTCTTAGCTCTTGACCTCTCTGTTGTTGTGTCTCTTTATATTCTGCGGTTCTAGAACTCCCTGTAATTGTGTGTATGTATGATTTTGAGATCTAGAGCTCTCAATAGGTATGTGTCTGTATATGTGGCTTTAGAACTCTCTGTATTTGTTTGTCTCTTTATATTTCTGGGCTCTAGAGCTCACTGTAGTTGTGTGTTTTAGTATTTTTTGGCTTCAGAACACTCAATATGTATATGTTCAGATATTTTGGACTATACAGTTGTCTGTAGTCATGTCTCTGTATTTGTTCTGGACTCTAGAACTCCCTGTAGTTGTGTGCCTGTATATTTCTGGGCTCTAGAGGTCTCTGTAGTTGTGTGTCTGTAAATTTTGTGGCTCAAGAACTCTCTATAGTTGTGTCTCTGTGTTTTTCTGGACTCTAGAACTCTTTGTAGTGTCTGTATTTCTGGGCTCTAGAGGTCTCTGTAGTTGCGTGTCTGTGTATTTCTGGGCTCTAGAGGTCTCTGTAGTTGCGTGTCTGTGTATTTCTGGGCTCTAGAGGTCTCTGTAGTTGTGTGTCAGTGTATTTCTGGGCTCTAGAGGTCTCTGTATTTGCTTGTCTGTGTATTTCTAGGCTCTAGAGGTCTCTGTAGTTGCGTGTCTGTGTATTTCTGGGCTCTAGAGGTCTCTGTAGTTGCGTGTCGGTGTATTTCTGGGCTCTAGAGGTCTCTGTAGTTGTGTGTCTGTGTATTTCTGGGCTCTAGAGGTCTCTGTAGTTGCGTGTCTGTGTATTTCTGGGCTCTAGAGGTCTCTGTAGTTGCGTGTCTGTGTATTTCTGGGCTCTAGAGGTCTCTGTAGTTGCGTGTCTGTGTATTTCTGGGCTCTAGAGGTCTCTGTAGTTGCGTGTCTGTGTATTTCTGGGCTCTAGAGGTCTCTGTAGTTGCGTGTCTGTGTATTTCTGGGCTCTAGAGGTCTCTGTAGTTGCGTGTCTGTGTATTTCTGGGCTCTAGAGGTCTCTGTAGTTGCGTGTCTGTGTATTTCTGGGCTCTAGATCTCTCTATAGTTGTGTCTCTCTGTGTATTTCTGGGCTCTAGAGGTCTCTGTAGTTCTGTGTCTATATATCCTATGGCTCTAGAGCTCGTCTCTGGCTGTGCTGTCGAGCGGTGATTGCAGGACGTCAGTGTTCTGGGCTTCGCTGCTCAGCTCCTCCTGCTCGCGGCTCTTTCGTGAGCGTGCTCTGTCCCAGTCGGTCAGCACGCTCTCGTTGTCCCAGACGCTGGAGGTCTCTGTGTCGCTGATGTAGCCCTGGTCTCCTGTGTAGTGTGTAGGGTATATCAGCAGTGGCTCCGCAGAAAAGGCCCGCAGGTCCCGCTGTGGGAAATGAGACATGTACTCCTCACTGCGAGATGGAGAACACACAACATCAGATAGAGATGCTGAGCATGCAGTAATGTACAATATTACATAATGTGACAGTGGTTTGTTCTGTGCTAATCAAACACAAATATTGCTTAAGGAGGCTAATAATATTGACCTTTTATTCTAGCCGAAATATGACTTTCTGCAGAAGACAAAATAATACTGCGAAATAAAAATAAAATAAAATAAAACTACTGTGAAAAATCCCTTGCTTTGTTAAACATCATTTGGGAAATATTTAGAAAAAAAAAAAGGCGAATAATTTTGACTTCAGTCAACTCAAGCAGAAGTGTTTGTGTGTCTTACATGGGGTGTTTGTTGTACATGACGGGCAGAAACTCGTCCACCGGCAGCATCTTCTTGAGCGGTTCGGCTCTTAGCAGCTTCTGTGCACCGCGGAGCGAGATCACGTATCCCAGCGTCCAGTACGAGTAATCTGCCTCCACCAGACTGTGGATCCGTGGCACTGATTTCTCCGGTCGCTCCACCTGCATCCGCTTGCGGCCAATATAACTGAGACGGAGAGAGAATAAAAATGTGTTTGTGCGTGTGTCCAACAGGGGGCGACACACACACACAGACCAAAAGCTGTGTTTCCATCCAAAGATGAGTTAAACTGTTAAAATGGAGCTAATCTGAGCCATAGAGGTGTAGTTTGATGAACTGTTGGGATTTGCCACTGTGGTGTTTGTATTCCTCTAATAAATGAGTTGCGCCTCAGAAGATGAAACAAAGAACATTTCAGATCTGCAACAATGGAAAGCTGGAAACATGGAAAGCTGCAAACCAACATTAAGGACGCAAACACCCTCCCACACATTTATATATCTGATCGGCATCTGTCAAATACTTAATCACAGCATGCAGACTGATCAAGCGCATACACACACTTTATGCACTAAATGTAGAGGTGTGAACCTATACTGGTCTCACGGTTCGGTTACGATTATCATGCCTTCGGTTCAATTCGATATCTCGGTGCATCACGGTGCATTGACGATGCTTTTATATACAGTGTTATATTTTAGGGGGGAGGCTATAACAAGATGTCTGTATAAACACACAGCACCACACTGTCTCTCATTCAAACACATACACAAACATAGACAGCACCAAAGAAACAAACACACACGTACGCACACACGCACGCGCACACACACACACTTAAGCTCTTGCAACAGCGAGAGCTCGCGCTGAGCGGAGCAGAAAAACGAAAAAAAGAAGCACTTTTCCGACAGTCCCCTGCTGAGAGCTCCTCTCACCGCGAGCTCTCCCGGCTAAACACGTATTGCGAGGGCTTAAAGGGAGCAGTGCTCATAATGTTGAGCGAAAAAAAAAAAAAAGAAAGACATAACCAGCTTTGTCTTTTTGTAGGAAACACACTTTAGATCTTTTTAGGGTGAGATGTTTTTGAGTTATTGCCGTCTATAACTGAATGTTCGTCAGGAATATTAAAAACAAAACCAACTGAACCGCGCTCCTTTCTGGCGCCCCCCTTGATATACAGCGCCCTTAGCATTTGCCTATGGTGCCTATGCCACGGGCCAGCCCTGAGTTGGCTGAGTGTTGTAAATACTCGCACTCACCTCCCTCACGACAGAGCGCATAGGAGATAAATGACGTCAGTACATAATAATCGGTTATGATTATTACTGAACCGATACCTTATTGTCCGCATCTGCATCGCGGTGCACCGAAGAAACAATTGATTTTGACACCCCTAACTAAATGCAGAAAGTAAATGCATAAATTCACATTGTTATTTATGCTTTTTTTTCTTACCGAATAAATCGTTTATTCTACTCAGTGTTTTTAAATGCACATTATCAAAATGTAGGTGCGTCTTGGCTTTTCTGTTAAACATTTTTTAGTGAAATTATTCCAACATGTGCATGAAAACTGTTGGATGGAAACAGCTAGTGTGGATTAATGAGTGTGTTTGCTCACATCAGATCCCAGTCGAGCTGCTGAGACTGAACCTCCTGCATCAGATTCTGCAGACGCCGCTTAAAGAACACCTCGAAGCGCAGATCGTCCTCGATCACCAGAGACGACTGCAGGCCACGATCCACAATCTGCAGAGACACGATAATATATAAATACTAAACCACTCTGATACAAAACATGCAAAGTTGGGTCGTCCTCCACTGTGATTGGACAGAGAGCTCAATATTGTCAAATGAGCAGAGCTCTGCATTTTACTCAGTCAACATTAAAACCCCACTGCTGTTGGGTCCTTTTCATCCACTCTGGGCTGATTTTGAGTCTTAATTTGGCCACAACTTTCTCTGGAATGATTATTGTTGGCAAATCTTTTGACACATACTTTGGGAAAATGCTTTGAAATTGTACAAAAACTCAACAATACACTGTGGGCAGACTGACTCCCCTTTGGTTATGCATGTAGCAATAATCAAGGGTGAGGTGAAAAATAAAACTAAAGTGATTTTTAAGCTTTTAAATATTATTATTATTATTATTATTATTATGTGTCATTTTAAACACAGTTACTCTCAGACCTCGTTCCAGATGTTGTAGTGGGACAGAAAGCAGCCCAGCTCTCCTTTGGTCAGCGGGCGTCCGTGATACGGGTCACTGTAACCGGGCAGCATCTTGATCCCCAGAGCCTCTACCTGACTTGCATTCAGTGCCCTGAAACACACACACACACTCTCAAGCATTACATGACTGATACTCATGCTGCATTCCAGTTTTTCAAAGTCCTAAAAGTTAGTGTGTCTATAGTGTGTGTGTTTGAAACATACTTGCCATCTACAGCTGTGATGATCTTGCATGCGATCTCTTGCTCGTAAAGCGTCCTCAACATGCGCTCGCGCCGGTCTGAGCGCCTCAGGAGATTTATCATGAACACCTAAAATATAATATTTATTGTAAACTGATTTATTTATTATAAATTTAGTATTTTTTTAATTGTATTTCATAAAACAATGGTACCCTATTTGGTTTTTCATAAAATTATAATACTGTAATAAAAAAAAATACCATACAATTGTAAATTAGACAAAAAATAAAATGAAGCAAGGTCCATAGATTTTTTGTAAATATTTTATAATAAATAAATCTAAAAAAATCAATGTGAAAGAAATAGGATTGCATATAAAACAATTAAATAAAATAAAACAATTTCCATTATTTTATAAAATATTAAATAAATCTAAAAGGCAAATATAATAAAAAAATATGTATAATTAAAAAAAATAATATTATTCTCATACTATAATAAAAAATAACAATTTAAAAATTTTAGTCAAAAAATTGAAAAAAAAAGAAAAAATCTATTATTTTATAAAATTTTGCAAAACCAAAGTTTATAAAAGCAATATTTAAAAAAATAGGATTGCATACAATAATCATACTAAATAATAAAGAAAATATGAAATAACAGTAATTTCATAAAATAAGACATTAAATAATACAGAATTAAACCAAAATACAAGTAAAAATAAATAAACTGAATCAAATCAAATTGTGGTCACCTCATCGAAGCCCATTTTATCCGTCTGTTTTGGCATTAGTGACAGATACACGGACGGCTCTATTGGAGGATTGCGCACTGGAAACACACACACAGAAGGATCAGGATGTTTAGTTTTTCTCTCAGATTTGATCAGAGCAGCTCCAAACTTCTTAAACTCACCCATAACCTCCAGCTGAGAGTGCAGAAAGCTCTCCGCCTCATCCTGCAGGCTGTTCTGGGAGCGCAGCGGCACCGGGAAATACCCATACGTCTCTCTGTTGCAGATGTACATCTGAACCTCTGTGGACAAACCAATTTTTGAAACAACAAAAGTTACAAGCATGAACACTAGAGATAAACCTTTTTTTTTGTCCAATTATCTGTTTCTGTAATTTCCATCTTTTTAAAAATATTACAAAAATATAAAAAGCAAAACTGAAAAATAGTATTGCATCAAATAATATGTTTAAAAAATTCATTACTTTATACATTATAAAAACATATAAGAAGTAATATTGAACAAAAAGGATTGCATACAATGATACAACATAAATAAATCTAAACATTAAAAAAAAAAAATCTGGGAAAAACAATAATTTTAGGGTTTATTTACTAAGCCCATCGGCAGACTATTGCTGATTCTAGTAATACTGGGGAAAAAATTACTGGAATGTTTATTAAATTATTTAAATTGAAATCTTCATAAAAGATTAGATGATGTTTTCTCTTTATATGTTTTTTTTCTCTATATAATTCATTAAATACCAGCGCAGCTGCTTTGTTGCTATGTAATAAGCGCCATCTACTGGCAGAGACTGAATCGGTATTTTTATTCAGCATTTCTGCTGTTTTTTTTTTTTTTTTTGGTAATGATGTCACGTTTTTGTTTTTGTTAAAAGTTTAATTTTTTTTATTGGAAAAAAAAATGCAAATCAGAATTTGGTAGTTTGCAAATGTGCTAATAAAAAGTAATCATCAATCAGAATCGCTGTAAAATCATAAATAACATTGTCAATCGGAATCAACCATTTAAAAAAATTTAATTGTCAACTCTGAATCAGACAGTAAAAAAATAAATCAAAAATTGTCTGTCGGAATTGTAATATATTGTCATAAAATATATAATCGTCACACGATCTGTGCGTCTCTAATGAACATGTAACATGACTGTGTGACGCACCTGCCATGCGTGCGGAGAAGGCGAAGATAATGATGTCATCAAAGGCCCAGGTGTAGTCGGGATGGGGCGGAAAGAAGGCCAGCTGACGGGACGCCTCTTTCCGCAGGTCCAACAGGAGCGTGGAGTGAACCATCGGCACCGCAAAACAGCCCTTACGCTCCTGACGCCGGATTGGCATGTAGGCCGGAGTACGCTTATAATAACCCTAAAGACAAAATCAAGACAAAATCTTTGTTTACATTAGTCAAACGCAAAGATAAAGTTCACATTTTCCAGAATCTACATTTGAATTACTTTTAGTTAGCGCTTCTTTCTGAAGAGGGCGGAGCTACAAATGTCAGCATAGTGGCGAATCAAAAACAAGACATTCTATGCTAATGAGGGAGAGATGGGCACTAGTGGGCGGGGCTTTCCCCCTCTCTGATGGCAAGAATGTCAATCAAAGTGCTTCTGCAGACTGATTTCAATCAAGTCTGATTAAAAAAAAAAAATCACATTTATAAGTTTAGAAGCTGGATATATTCACAGCCATAATGAGACCTTATTAGATAATGAGAATTATTAAAATTCCAATAAAAATACATGCCTGAGGATAAAATGTAGCCATTAGCATTAACAAAGTACAATTTATGAAAGCAAATAGAGATGAAACGAACAATGGTTAATATTCATAATAAAAATGGTTACTATTAACATGCATATTTAATGTTTTAAAGCACACAACAATTCAGTGTACCATTTGTACACCCTTTCAGATCTATAAAATGTATATTTGAACAATAATTATTGTGATAAGCGATATACAAATAAGCTTGAATTCAATATTTCACAGCTTAAAGAGTAAAAAGTGCAGCTTAAATAATAAAAATCACCATTTTTATTTCTTATTAAAAAAAGCAAATGTAAATAAGTAAACATTACTGCAAATATTATCGAATTCTCTAATGTTGGCAGTACCTGAGACGTCATGCCGCACCAGAAGTTGGAGTATGCCGCTCTGGATTCCAGCATCGGCGCCACAATCGTCTTGTTTTCCCGCATTAATTTCCACAACACATCACGATTAGTCAGCAGGTTATCACAGTCCACCAACTACAACACACATAGTCAGCTTATTTAAACATTTTCATCACTGAATGTTCATGGGATTTCATTCATTAAGTGTAAAACAATTCTGTGGCCTATTTAACATCTCATTTACATGGTTAGATCCTTAATTTACAATCGCATTCACTTCATTTAAACAAGCTTGATCATTTTGAACGAAGAAAGAAGAAAAAAACGTGGTCAATGTAATGAATGAGTGCTATGAAAGTAAAAACACATTGTGGATATTTATAAATCGGTTTTAAACATGATTTACACGGCCAGAGTTTGGTTTGATTCACCGGTGGCTCAGCAGAAACTGTGTTTAACTGGACATTTGAGTTAAACACACAGTCGAGAGCCACTGGACGGAGGATTGAGCTGATCACAGACCAGCAGAAATAAACACTCACAGAAATAACTGAAGATCACCGCATCGGTCATTACACTGAGAGCTGACTCAGGTCAGTTTTGGTCACCACTAGCTGTGTTTACATCCAAAGATGTCAATTACAGTCATGTTGAAAGAGAACAAAGCCATCACTTCCAGTGCAGCTGCTATGACTACAACACCAACCAAAGAACATATGTCAATACCACTTTTCTAGAAACGCCATCTACTGGCAGAGGCTGAATCTGCATTTTTATTCAGCCTGTCTGCAGGGCCGGCGCGTCCATAGAGGCGAACTAGGCAGCTGCGATACCAGCAATCAGAATCAGCCTTAAAAACAACAACAGCAACAACAACATATAATGTTGTCGTACAAGCGGATAAATGTAATTGTCAATAGTAATCAGCAATAAAAAAAAAATAAGCCCCTGAAATCAGCCTGTTAAAAATGAAATAATCAAATACATTCATTTTCCTTTGGCTTAGTCTCTATTTCAGAGGTCGCCACAGTGGAATGAACTGCCAACTATTCAGTTTTATGCTTTAGATACCCTTCCAACTGCATCTCCGTACTGGGAAACACACATATACACTGATTCACACACACACACCACTCATACAACATGGCCAGTTTAGTTTATTCAGTGGTGTTTGGACTGTGGGGGGAAACCTGGAGGAAACATGCAGACTCGACACCGAAATGACAACTGGCCAAGCCGGGACTCGAACCAGCTACTTTCTTGCTGTGAGGCAACAGTGCTAACTACTGAGCCACCATGCTGCATCATCAAATTCAATCAGCTGTAAAACAAATCAGAGATGAGATGCTGTACCATGAAATAGTCGGCCCACATCTCGCGTGCCGTCTCCAGAGCCGCCTGCCGGAGCTTCATCACGTGCTCGTATCGCAGATTCGTCCAGTGCTTCGGGCCGCTTTCACCCTCATACACACTGCAAAAGATGCATGCATTCTGAGGTCATTCGCCAAATATCCCCCAAAAAACTACAGCAAAAACAGTACAGCGTCAAACAGCTGCTTTCCATGTAAATATATAGTAAAATGTCATTAATTTATAAGATGTAAAGCTGAATTTTCTTCCAAACGAAGATAGCTGTTATATGGAACTGAGGGTATTTATAGTGTCTGATTGGTCAATCCTAAATTGAATAATGCAGCACCGGCTGCAAGCAATCATAAGCACGTGATCCTCTGGAAATTAGTTTAGAAATAAACTACACTTACGTTGGAAAAAGAGTATGGATAAAAGTAGAGCTTGCTTGTTTTTACACAATAGTTAAAAATATTTTGCTAAGAAATGAATTCCTAAAAAAAAAAAATATCATTATTAAATTACCATTGTATTAAATAAATGTATTAGATTTATAATATTTTTTTATAGGGCGAGTATATTTTTTTTCCATCTAGGCCATTTGAAAAATTTCTCAGCCTTTAGCCCTTTATGAGTCTAAAATTATAGTGTACATATGTACTAATCAAATTTACATTATTAATGACCACAAAATTATGTTTTATATAAGATGTGCAAACATATCTGCTGTTTAAACAAGTTCAGCTTTTAAATCCAGGGTTTCTGCAGGGTCTTAAAAAGCCTTAAATCTTAAAATCCAAATTTTAGGCCTTAAAAGTCTTAAATGTACTGAAATGTTGTGCTGTAGGTCTTAAATCTTTTTGAAACAGGTCTTAATTTTCCTTTCCATGTATTTCTACTAAATCTGGCCAAAACCCATACAATAATCAACAATCTTCTCTATACAATTTTGAACTTTTTATTTAAAAAGGTCATTTTTAACTTTATTTATCATAATAGTTTAATCATTTTCCTCACAATAATATTTGTTTCAATGTCTCCATGTATTTGCTGCTGAGGACACTGACCTGGACAGATTGTTGTCCATATTTAGTTTATTATAGTTTTTAAAACTTTCAAAACATTTGTTTATTTTTCTTTTATTTTAAAGATTGTTTATGTTGTAAAACGTGTATTGATACAACTAGAGCTTGCTTGTTTTTACACGATATTTAAAATATTTTGCTAAAAAATGTAATGTAAAATATTTTATTTTTTAATAATAAGGTATTATTGTATTATTAAATGTATTCAATTATAAATGTTTTAATTGATAGGGCAAATAAAAAATCTTTTCCATCTTGGTCATTTGAAAAATGTCTTACATTTTTGCCCTTTATGGGTCTAAAATTCCATTCATAATGGTCTTAAAAATATCTTAAATTTAACTGTGAAACCTGCAGAAACCATGAATTCAGGCTTGGTAAAATCAATTTTAGTTAACTACAAATAAAGTGTTTTTGTAACTCAAATGAAACAAAGGAAAAAAAAAAGCTGAAAAAACTAAAATAGATACGAGAAATTACTCGTCACTAATTGTTCATCAAGAAAATATTACTTGTTCGTGTTGTTTAAATTAAAAATACAATGAATACAACTAAAAGTAAACATTTCTGAACTAAATTGGCTCTAAAAAGCTACAAAAAATGAGGAAAAACACAATCAAAATGACTAAATCTTAGTTTAGTCTTGAACAGAACATCTGAAATAACTTCAGTGTGTGCATGAAGACTGACCTGGGCTCGTCCTGAGGTCTCCACTCCACATAATGATAGAAGTTCTGCACGTTCACCAGCCACTCGCGCAGGATCTCGGTGGTGTTGTCGGAGTTATGATCTGTGGCCACCCTGAGCACACGAACATCACATTATGAGTTATAAACCACAGATAATTCCACGTATAAAGCAGACACACAGAGAGATGGGTTGCCAGATTGAGAAAATGTCTGTAATTACTGCTGCTCACTGCTCATTTCCAGCTGAATGTTGAGTTTATATTTAATTGTCCTGCTGGAGTTTGGAAGGTTAAGCTTGTCTTTTGTGTTTTGGCTGCAGATGAGAAACAGAAACGCTGTGTATACGCACAGAAACACGACACATGGTGCACTTTGGGGGGTTTTCTCGGATAACGAAGCATCATTTGCATTGTGCAATGAAACATTTCCATGGATTTTAAAGATTGTTCATGTAGTCAATGAGATAGGATGCTCTGATAGCAACACTGCTGTTTCCCTAGCGAATTAATCATTTTCTGAATGAATTGTTTGAGTCAGAGATTCAGTCATAAAGACTTTTTAAACATACTTGAATGTATGAGAATGATTAGTTCTGCTGTTGTTTACGAACTCCAGTTCTGATGATGTACAATGACACTCTCATGCTACTGTCCCAATGTGTAGTAAACCAAGCTCATCAGTGCCCTTAATAGAGCACAAATTTGTGTACTGAAGACCCTGGTAGCTAGGGTGCTGATTGAGACGCAGCTTTTAGAATCAATTGTCTGACTGAAGGGTTCTCTTAGGAGACAGTATTTGTTAGGCATATATAACAGAGTTTCCTACAGTCTGCTTATCTGAATGTGCTACAGTACAGTAGCAAATCACACTGCTGGCTGGACAGGTGGTGTACCAGTGTGTGTGTGTGTGTGTGTGTGTGTGTTCAGCAGATGATCAGTTTGAGGAATCAAGAGTTAATCATCACTGAGATCATGAATGCTGGAGATGGAGGTTCTGCGGTGAACAGACGGTTCACTGGTGCTGGATGTCTGTCTCTCTCACACACACACACACACACACACACACACACACACACACACACACACACACACACCTCCTCAGGCACATTCCATTCCCTCTTTTTTTCTTTTCTCAGTCAGTTCATGTCCGTCAGGATTGCGATCTGAACACACTCTAGTCTACACAGATAGTGATGATACATGATGTGATCTTATGGTCCGCATTAAAAAGAGACTTTTAACTACATTACAAGCAGATACACATTTTCTGGATGGGGAAATTTTGCCAGTAAATAAATGTGCAGTTTTATTGAAAAACTATATTGAAAAGTTGGGGTCAAAAATGAATCATCATCATCATTTTCATTCGCTTATCTGGGGCCGGGTCGCAGGAGCATCAGTCTTAGGAAAGAACCCCAGACTTCCCTCTCCCCAGACACTTCCTCCAGCTCCTCCAGTGGGATCCCGAGGTGTTCCCAGGCCAGCCGAGAGACATAGTCCCTCCAGCGTTTTCTGGGCCTTCCTTCAAGACTTCCTCCCGGTGGGACATGCCTGGAACACCTCCCTAGGTAGGCGTCCTGGAGGCATCCAGAACAGATGCCTGGGCCACTTCAGCGGACTTCTCTTGATCTTGAGGAGCAGTGGCTCTACTCCGAGCTCCTCCGGGGTAACAGAGCTCCTCACCCTGTCTATAAGGGTGCACCCTGCCACCCTTTGAAGGAAACTCATTTCAGCCGATTGTATCCGAGATCTTGTCCTTACAGTCATGACCCAAAACTCATGACCATAGGTGAAAGTAGGAACGTAGATTAACCGGTAAATCGAGAGCTTTGCCTTTCGGCTCAGCTCCTTCTTTACCACAGCAGACCGGTACATTGAACGTTTTGAAGGCAAAACGCCTCATAATGGGCCCAAACTGTCGCAAAAGACAGCTGAAATTGGAGCCTGAGTATGCGCAGATGGGACTACTTGATGGAGCCAGAGGCGAAGCAGCAGAATCAAACTTCCAGCCAAACACTTGTACGTCAAAACAACCCCCTCCCCCCAAACTCCTCGCAGAAATAAAGGAGCAAAATAAAAACACGAATCGCAAAATATGGAAAACTGCTAATATTATAATGGATATTTTATAACGGAGTTAAAGAAATAAACTGTTCTTTAATTATACTAAATTCTTAAGTACTAATGCACGATATATCGGCGGCCGTATTATTATCGGCCGATAAATGCAATTTTTTTGTGTTATTGTTATCGATCCGATATCAAAATTAGGTTGATTAGGTTGTACAGAACTGCCTGCCTCGTACATGCATAGACGGAACTTGTTCAGACTTGTCCTGTGCATTATAATGGAGCTTTCCACACACTGTTTACTCCTTCAAAGTCCGTCCTATCTGTGTTTTGTATTGCTGGGCGTTAATAACTCGGTAAGCAACCATATTCCTTATTATTGTGTTTGATTGATTGTCATTGTGTATTTTGCTTTGAATCGCCCCAGGAACAAACATTACATGTGTAAACATAATAGCAGCAATGCACACGTGCTAAACAACTCATTGGGTTGTTTGTAATCTAATAAGATTATTTGGTATTATCAACGCGTTGCTTGACGTGTTGTTGATGTAAGATTGTATTCAGCATATTTAAAATGATTATAACGAGCGCACAAGATGGATATCACTGCATAAAAATAGAACATTTTAAAATATTTATATTTATTAACTATAATATATCGGCCTCCAAAGCTTAAGAGTTATCAGTTAGCGATATCGGCCAAAACAAACCCATATTGGTGCATTCCTAATATAATACAGAAATTCATTCATTCATTCATTCATTTTCTTGTCAGCTTAGTCCCTTTATTAATCTGGGGTCGCCACAGCAGAATGAACCGCCAACTTATCCAGCACTTTTTTTTTAACAACGAATGACCTTCCAGCCGCAACACATCTCTGGGAAACTTCCACACACACACTCATACACTACGGACAATTAAGCCTACCCAATTACCAATTCACCTGTACCGCATGTCTTTGGACTGTGGGGTAAACCGGAGCACCCGGAGGAAACCCACGCGAACGCAAGGAGAACATGCAAACTCCACACAGAAACGCCAACTGAGCCAAGGATCGAACCAGCGACCTTCTTTCTGTGAGGCGACAGCACTACCTACTGCGCCACTGCATCGCCATATCATACAGAAATTAAATAAAATAGTATTTCATAATATTAGTGATTTTTACAGTATTTTTATTAAATAATCTGTAAACTGAAGAGGTTTAAAATCTACATGGAAAAAGTCTTGCAAACCCAAACGGGAATAGTTTTGTAGTAGCAGCAGTGTATACAATAATTACATGTTAGACATAATTACGGTGATTAAAAACAAGCATGTATGTAAAGAATCACATCTGTAATGTGGCCAACTTACTCATAGATTATCATCAAACGAGGGACCTCAATCGATAATTAAAGTCATTAAGACACGGTAGAAAAAAGGCGGCAAACCACAGCGCAGATTCCCTCCATTATGAGGTCACAGCTCCGAGGTGGCAACCAATCACATGGCCACAAGCGCGGACACGCCCAACAAGCATTTAGAAGAAAGGAGAAGAGTAACAGATGAAGACGAACACAAGTTTGCAGATGCTCTTGTGAGCGTGTGAACCGCAGCCATCTCCACATGTAATGCTATGCTTGTGTAGCGCGCCTACTTGTTAGCGGTTAGCGCCTCTCATAACTGCTTCAAGCGCACTTAGAGAGCATTCCCGTAATAAACCTTGAGATTATATAGAATTTGTCTAGCGTGTGCTGGAGATGTCCGTCTGTTCATTAAAGGCTTGTTTTAATTTAGTGCAGCTTTTTTAGACTCGAGTCTTGGATGTTTAGCGGGTTTGCTAAAGCCCTAGCGAGCGCTGAGCCACCCATATGCCTTCTGGGAGTCTTGGACCGCATGTGGTTTGGTTCTGGTCTATTTGTGGCAGAGATACAAACCCTGGCGGTTCGGATTTGATTGTTAACTACACGCTGAGAGCGAGTCTGCACTTCTGGCTGCTCAACACTCTTTTTGAACCACACGAGGTGACGAGAGCTCAAAATGCTACATGCTAATCTGTGATGTAGGATGCTATAATAAATAAACAGGACGATTAGACAATCACGTTAATGGGGAAAAAAAAGTTTTGTTGTCATGTACTTTATTAGCCAAAATACATTTAATATATTTAATATAAATGTTTAATATAACCTGATTTATACAGGGTTCATACGGTTATGGAAAACCTGGAAAAGTCATGGAATTTTGACATGGCATTTTCCAGGCCTGGAAAACCAATATATTCTTTAATAAAGATTATTTTCTGTCCTTGGCCAATCACATACTCTCACATTATTAGTGCAGTTTAAGCATTATCTAAATAGATTTTACATAGATATAAATATAAAGTGGGCGTCACGGTGGCGCAGTGGGTAGCACAATCATCTCACAGCAGTCAGTTGGCGTTTTTGCGTGGGTTTTTTCCGGGTCCTCCGGTTTCCCCCACAGTCAAAACACATGCGCTTTAGGTGAACTGGGTAGTCAAAAATTTTCCATCGTGTATGAGGGTGTATGGATGTTTCCCATTGATGGGTTGCGGCTGGAAGGGCATCCGCTGCACAAAAAAAAGCTGCATAAGTTGGCGGTTCATTCCACTGTGGCAACCCCAGATTAATAAAGGGACTAAGCTGAAAAGAAAATGAATGAATGAACATAAATGGAAACTAAATAGATTGTTGTGTGCTTTACAGTGTGCTGTAATAGACTATGTCAGGGGTGTCAAACTCAATTCCTGGAGGGCCGAAGCCCTGCACAGTTTAGTTCCAACCCTGCTCCAACACACTTACCTGTAGGTTTCAAACAAGCCTGAAGGACTCAATTAGTTTGATCAGGTGTGTTTAATTAGGGTTGGAACTAAACTGTGCAGAACTGCGGCCCTTTTGGAACTGAGTTTGACACTTGTGGACTGTTGATGGATGTAATCTAAAACAATGGTCCTTGTTTTAGCATCTAAGAATACAAAACTAATCACAATTATTGATTACATAGGTTTGTTGGTTCAGTACTCTAATTGTGACA